CTGTGTCAATTCCCATTTTGAATTTGATTCCCCAAAATTTAATCCCACCCCTCTCCCGAACACCCTAGCATTTACTTCCTTTACAACCCCATCTATAAATATATTAAACAACCATGGTGACATTACACATCCCTGTCTAAGACCTACTTTTACCGGGAAGTAGTCTCCCTCTCTTCTACACACCCTAACCTGAGCCTCACTATCCTCATAAAAACTCTTTACAGCATTTAATAACTTACCACCTATTCCATATACTTGCAACATCTGCCACATTGCTCCTCTATCCACTCTATCATATGCCTTTTCTAAATCCATAAATGCAATAAAAACTTACCTACCTTTATCTAATACTGTTCACATATATGCTTCAATGTAAACACTTGATCTACACATCCCCTACCCACTCTGAAACCTCCTTGCTCATCCGCAATCCTACATTCTGTCTTACCTCTAATTCTTTCAATTATAACCCTACCGTACACTTTTCCTGGTATACTCAGTAAACTTATTCCTCTATAATTTTTACAGTCTCTTTTGTCCCCTTTCCCTTTATATAAAGGGACTATACATCTTGAGGATGTCTCTCCAAGAGAGAACGCGCAGTAATGGATTTAAATTAGATAAGTTTAGATTTAGAAAGGACATAGGAAAGTATTGGTTTGGAAATAGGGTAGTTGATGAGTGGAACAGTCTACCTAGTTGGGTTATTGAGGCTGGGACTTTGGGTAGTTTCAAATCTAGGTTGGATAAGTACATGAGTGGGAGGGGTTGGATTTGAGTGGGACTTTCACATCAGAGCTTATTTCTTGGGTGGCATTGAAAATTGGGTTGGGCAAATGTTTTGTTAGTGGGATGAATTGTAAAGGACCTGCCTAGTATGGGCCAGCAGGCCTCCTGCAGTGTTCCTCCTTTCTTATGTTCTTATGCTCTCCGCCAATCCCTAGGTACCTTCCCCTCTTTCATACATTTATTAAACAAAAGTACCAACCACTCCAACACTATATCCCCCCCTGCTTTTAACATTTTTGTCATGATCCCATCAGTTCCAGCTGCTTTACCCCCTTTCATTCTACATAATGCCTCGCATACCTCCCCCACACTTACATTCTGCTGTTCTTCACTCCTAAAAGATGGTATACCTCCCTGACCAGTGCATGAAATTACTGCCTCTCTTTCTTCCTTAACATTTAAAAGTTCCTCAAAATATTCTCGCCATCTACCTAATACCTCCATCTCCCCATCTACTAACTCCCCTACTCTGTTTTTAACTGACAAATCCATACTTTCCCTAGGCTTTCTTAACTGTTTAACTCACTCCAAAATTTTTTCTTATTTTCATTAAAATTTCTTGACAGTGCCTCTCCCAGTCTATCATCTGCTCACCTTTTGCACTCTCTCACCACTCTCTTTACCTTTCTTTTACTCTCCATATACTCTGCTCTTCTTATAACACTTCTGCTTTGTAAAAACCTCTCATAAGCTACCTTTTTCTCTTTTATCACACCCTTTACTTCATCATTCCACCAATCACTCCTCTTTCCTCTTGCCCCCACCCTCCTATAACCAAACTTCTGCCCCACATTCTAATATTGCATTTCTAAAACTATTCCAACCCTCTTCAACCCCCCCACTACTCATCTTTGCACTAGCCCACCTTTCTGCCAATAGTCGCTTATATCTCACCCGAACTTCCTCCTCCCTTAGTTTATACACTTTCACCTCCCTCTTACTTGTTGTTGCCACCTTCCTCTTTTCCCATCTACCTCTTACTCTAACTGTAGCTACTAAATAATGATCCGATATATCAGTTGCCCCTCTATAAACATGTACATCCTGGAGCCTACCCATCAACCTTTTATCCACCAATATATAATCTAATAAACTACTCTCATTACGTGCTACATCATACCTTGTGTATTTATTTATCCTCATTTTCATAAAATATGTATTACTTATTACCAAATCTCTTTCTACACATAGCTCAATTAAAGGCTCCCCATTTACATTTACCCCTGGCACCCCAAATTTACCTACTACTCCCTCCATAACATTTTTACCCACTTTAGCATTGAAATCCCCAACCACCATTACTCTCACACTTGATTCAAAACTCCCCACGCATTCACTCAACATTTCCCAAAATCTCTCTCTCTCCTCTACACTTCTCTCTTCTCCAGGTGCATACACGCTTATTATAACCCACTTTTCACATCCAATCTTTATTTTACTCCACATAATCCTTGAATTAATACATTTATAGTCCCTCTTTTCCTGCCATAGCTTATCCTTCAACATTATTGCTACTCCTTCTTTAGCTCTAACTCTATTTGAAACCCCTGACCTAATCCCATTTATTCCTCTCCACTGAAACTCTCCCACCCCCTTCAGCTTTGTTTCACTTAAAGACAGGACATCCAGCTTCTTCTCATTCATAACATCCACAATCATCTCTTTCTTAACATTTGCACAACATCCACGCACATTCAGACTTCCCACTTTGACAATTTTCTTCTTCTTATTCTTTTTAGTAATCATTACAGGAAAAGGGGTTACTAGCCCATTGTTCCCGGCATTTTAGTCGACTTTTACAACACGCATGGCTTACGGAGGAAAGATTCTTATTCCACTTCCCCATGGATATAAAAGGAAAAGTAATAAGACCAAGAACTATTAAGATAAAATCGAAGAAAACTCAGATGAGTGTGTATAAATAAACATGTACATGTATGTGTAGTGTGACCTAAGTGTAAGTAGAAGTAGCAAGACATACCTGTAATCTTGCATATTTGAGAGACAGACGAAAGACATCAGCAATCCTACCATCATGTAAAACAATTACAGGCTTTCGTTTTACACTCACTTGGCAGGACGGTAGTACCTCCCTGGGTGGTTGCTGTCTACCAACCTACTACTATATACTACTACTATATATGTATATATATGTATATACATGTATATATATGATAGTGAGGTGCTGGCCAGACCCCTTATATAGCTTCCTTGGATGCTTTACTTTCATAGTTCCTTGATAATGTGAGTAGTCACGAAAGCGCTTGGAATTTCTCTATTCTTTCAGAGTGGTTGTTTTGCATGTATATATATATATATTGTTTTACATGATGGTAGGATTGCCGGTGTCTTTTGTCTGTCTCATAAACATACTACACATACATGTACAAGCATATATATACACACCCCTCTGGGTTTATTTCTATTTTCTTTCTAGTTCTTGTTCTTGTTTATTTCCTCTTATCTCCATGGGGAAGTGAAACAGATTTCCTCCTCCGTAAGCCATGCGTGTTGTAAGAGGCGACTAAAATGCCGGGAGCAAGGGGCTAGTAACCCCTTCTCTTGTATATATTACTAAATTTTAAAAAGAGAAACTTTTGTTTTTCATTTTGGGCCACCCTGCCTTGGTGGGATACGGCCAGTTTGTTGAAAGAAAGAAAGAATATACGTATATATACATATATGGGTTCGATTCCCGGCGGGTGGAAACATTTCGACACGTTTCCTTACACCTGTTGTCCTGTTTACCTAGCAGCAAATAGGTACCTGGGTGTTAGTCGACTGGTGTGGGTCGCATCCTGGGGGACAAGATTAAGGACCCCAATGGAAATAAGTTAGACAGTCCTCGATGATGCACTGACTTTCTTGGGTTATCCTGGGTGACTAACCCTCCGGGGTTAAAAATCCCAACAAAATCTGATCTTATCTTATCTTCAATGTACACTTTTTTAATCACTTTTAGGAAAAACTGCATTAAATAAAGGAGCCATATACAAGAGCCAATTGTAGTTAAAAAATAATTATAATAAATAATCTTACAACGGGAGGAATGTTTCTTAGCAAAGTACAGTGAACCCCCGCATAACGGTCACCTCCCAACTCGACCACTTATGTAAGTGTATTTTTCTAAGTGCTTTTGTAGGTGTATTTTTTGGGGGTCTGAAACGGACTAATCTAATTCACAATATTCCTTATGGGAACAAATTCGGTCTATAACGGCACCCAAACAGACTTCTGGATTGAAATAATATCGTTAGGCGGGGGTCCACTGTACTAACAAAATATTTACATACCACCAACACACGGAGCTGAGAGGTTTATGGCTGTGTGACAACATGTCCAGTTAGGCCAGATTCTTTGAGAAAATTGTGTAGGTCTCATTCACTGATTATTTCTTATCTTTTAACTGTTTTTCTTATAAAAATGTGCTCATCTCATACAAAACACTGATGAATTTTATCACTATTTTTCAGATGAGATTTTCTTAAATGAATAAAAGGTCATGATGCTTTTTTTTTTTTTTTTGAGTGGCACCTATTTACAAAGATGAATTTTCTTTATTTCATGGCTGACTGAATGAGGTTATCTTCGATAAGACTACAATTACTGTTGATACTTAGCTCAACTTTTATTATTTGAAAAGTGATATTCAGACAAGAAATTTGATACAGTTTCTAGGAAGATCGAATTATTAATAGCCGCAACAGCCAGCTCTTGTTGCTCCATCTGGTCATGGACCAGGCCACAGGGGGTGTTGACCCCTGGAACATCCTCCAAGTATACTCTAGGAGATTGGTAAACTGTATCAAAGTATGTGTTCCACTCTACACTGCTGTTTATAAACTTTTCAGTAAAAGAATTCATGAGCTTCTCAAATGTGCTTTACTTGTTCATGTGCAGCCAGCAGTAACAGCCTGGATGATCATGCCCTGATCCACCATGAGGCCTGGTCATGGACCGGGCCACAGGTGAAACATAAAATAATTTTTTAATAAACCAGGAGGCACAATACTATGACAGGAACAATACACAAATGACACACACATAAGAAAGAGAAGTTAATTTAAAATGACATTTTAGTCCGACTTGGACCATTTGACCAATGTGACCTGTAAGTTGTCCAAGTCAGACAGAAATGTTGTCATAAACTTCTCCCTCTATTATGTGTGGGGTTATGCGTGTAATTTTTTAATGTTACGAGAGACACTAACCTCTGCGTGCTTCATCTTCCATCTGGCGGGACATGAGTAAGTAGCGTGGTGATTCTGGGCACACTGGCAGCAGCACCATCTGCATTATAGCTGGCACAATTGCAAGTCCTGAGAAGTGCAAATGATTTTTTTTTCAGTAATGCAATACATTTTAAAATTCTTTAAGAAATCATTAAGAATTAGCAAAAGAATATGCAAAAACACACTCACTCACATCAACTAAGACACTGGAAAAATTGAACATTTAACAAACACTGATAAGTTTCCAGACTCTCAGTCTAAAATGTTTTAGATGAAAAATCTTCAACTCACATCATAAATTCATTTACATTTAATAAAGATATTTGATATTTTTATTTTACATGAATAATAAAGTTTTACATAACAGTATGTAAGTGCTGTCCCTGCCATCTCATGATACTCTGTACAGTACCTAGAAACTCTGAAGATAATTTATGTTCACTACTTCATATTTAATGTTAGACATTAAAAATGTCTCTTACTTTAAAAAAGGGACTGATCTACTGTATATTACTAGCCATAAGTCTACCTGTAATGTTAAGTTGAAGGGTTTACTTAGTGTGAAACATAAGCTCTTTACCTAGCCCCACCATTAAGGCAAGTTGCCATCTTATTTTTTTTAGGAAAACTACTGGCGTTGAAATTCATCTATGCATAATGAATGTTGAAGTGTAATAAAGAAAAATGGCAAATACCTGCCACTTTTTCATAATAAAAACACCATTTTACTCGATTTGAATATCTTACAAATACACAATGTATTGTACACAGCAGACTGTTGCAAGTGCACTGGACTCAGCAAGCCAACTGAGAGTCTACCAAGTGATCTCTCACAAACATATTTTGTCACATCACCAAGAGGTCTTGTACTCTTAAGGATCCAACACAAATGATAATTAAACAAGGAATAACTCCAATATTACGAGTTTTCATTATTAAGATGACATCAGAGGCCTTGTACGATCAACAAGGATCCCATACAATGAGAAGTCATCAAGATTACTCCAATAAGACAATAAAGCCATTATTCTTTTAGGTGGCATCAAGGTTTCATTTTGGCTTGTGGTATACTGCAAGTTTCTGAAATCCAACAAGTAAAAACAAAAATCACAAAATGGCATATTTTCTCCTTTGGTATTTTTTACCTAGAACACAGCACAACCCTCACTAAAGCTGGTAACGCAGAGAATGACAGTAATCAAAAACAAAATATATTTACAGTAATTCAAAATAATAAACCAGCAAGTAAAAAATAGTTTATCATTAATCTTCCCTCTGTCTATTCCTGTCCTAAGTGTGCACACACAGTTCTCTTTTCCATCTCTCAACCCCCATTATCTCAAATACTTTACAATTTTCTCTGTATATAAAAAAAAAAAAAAAAAAAAAAAAAAAATTACATTATGTACTGTATTTTTCGGCATAAACAAAAAGTCTTGGAAAATCTCACTGCACCTTTTATGATCATGGTCAGGGTCAAGGGTAGGCATTGGGTTATGCTTTAGCATAGGGTAAGAGGTTAATTAGCCACTGAATATGATTACTGGTTTACAGTAATCGCACCTTATATGCTAGTAAATACGCACCTTATATGCTAGTAAATAAGGTAACTGGAGAGGATATCTGGAAGAGTTGTTGATTGTTGATGAAGGGAAGACGGTGGTTTCATGCATGGAACAGAGAGGAATAAAATAATATCTTATAGGAGTGAGAAGGAGCCTGAGGTTGTTAAGAAAGTGCATGAGTTAGCAGGCAGAATGAAAGGGGGGTAAAGCAGCTGAGATAGATGGGATTAAGACAGAGATGTTAAAAGCAGGTTGGGATATAGTGTTGGAGTGTTTGTTCAAATTAAGCATAAAAGGGAAGGTACCAAATGACTAGCAGAGTGTGCATAGTTCCCTTGTATAAAGGTAAGGGGACAAGAGAGAATATAAGAATTATAGGGAAATAAGCCTGCCGTGTTGTAGGTAGTAGGTTGGTAGACAGCAACCACCCAGGGAGGTACTATTGTCCTGCCAAGTGAGTGTAAAACGGAAACCTGTAATTGTTTTACATGATGGTAGGATTGCTGGTGTCTTTTTTCTGTCTCATAAACATGCAAGATTTCAGGTACATCTTGCTACTTCTACTTACACTTAAGGCACACTACACATACATGTACAAGCATATATATACATACCCCACTGAGTTTCTCTATTTTCCTTCTATTCTGTTCTTGTTATTTCCTCTTATCGCATGGGGAAGTGGAGCAGAATTCTTCCTCCGTAAGCCATGCATGTTGTAAGAGGCGACTAAAATGCCGGGAGCAAAGGGCTAGTAACCCCTTCTCCTGTATAAATTACTAAATTTAAAAAGGGAAACTTTCGTTTTTCTTTTTGGGCCACCCTGCCTCGGTGGGATACGGCCGGTTTGTTGAAAGAAGAAAGAAGAAGCCTGCTGTGTATACCAGGCAAAGTTTACAGTAGAATTATTACTGAATGGGTTAGTGGTAAGGCAGAAAGTATTACTGCAGAATAGTAGTTAGGATTTAGGTTGGGTAGGGGATAAGTAGACCAAGTCAGAGGCGTCGCTAGAGTTGGTTTCACCCAGGGCGGAATCTCTGGTGTCACCTGGGGCAGCATCTTTGGTGTCACCCCCATGAAATTCAAGGGTGGGGGATGGGGGGGTAAACTCCAGTTATGTCACTACTGCATGACCAGTGACAAATGTTTAGCAATAAGAATGTTTAAGGGATATAAACGGAACAGGAAAATACTTCTCCACTTAATTAATGATAAAATAAATAATCATAGTAATATTGAGGAAACAAACTCAAATACCACTTTGAGTACAGCCAACAGATTCTACATTTTTTTCATCTTCAACAATGCAAAAACAAAAAAAAACTTGAAAAATAAAGAAAAACATTGCAATATCAGAGAAACACTAGTTCAGATTTGACCCTGAGTACAGGTAACATCTCGGTGAATCTGATCTTACATTTCCATCCCTTCAGTTATGCAAAATCATCTATCACATCATCAAAATCAATGATTTTCCCTATATAGGCTTAATTGTACTTTGCTAATATATAATAGGCTATATAGAAACAAAGGAATCTTCTCTTATGTTGGTGCAGCACTGTTTTGGGCATTAGTGTCACCTTCTTCAGAGGCTCTATGGTGTCACCCGGGGCGCCCCCCCTCCCGCCCCCCCTTACGACGCCTCTGGACCAAGTGTTTACAATGAAGCATATAAGTGAGCAGTCCTTAGCTACAGGTAGAGTTGTTGTATTTCTGGATTTAGACATATGGATAGGGAAACCATGGGATCTACCTACCTGGAGGTAGATATTTCAAATGAATGGAATAGGAGGTAGGTTACTTAAGAACAGTTAAAGAGTTTATATGCAAAGGTTCAGGTTGGGAGGAAGATTATTTCATAGTGAAAGTAGGACTTAGAGATGAATGTTGTCACCATGGTTAACATATTTGTTGATGGGGATGTAAAGGAAGTAAATGCTAGGACACTGACAAGAGGTGTGGTATTAAAAGATGTATTTGATAGAAAGTGGGAGTTATCACAATTGCTCTTTGCTAATTATACAGTTCTTGTGGGGAATTCTGAAGACAATTTGAAAGGTTGGTAGATAAATATGGAAGGGTAAGTAAAATAAGGAAATTAAAAGTGAACATTGAAAAGACCAGGGTGCTGAGGGTAATAAAAAAAGGATAGACTATGAAAAACTGAATAACCAATAAGATGGAGAGAGTATGGAGGAAGTGGATGTATCTAGATATTTGGGAATGAACCTTTTATTTTTTTTTATACAATGGTTTTTACAGGGTTAAGTTATGAGTTCCTACCTTTATTTACAAGCTAAGAGTTATTACCTACCTCAGCTCATTTGAAAGCTTTTTTATTGTTATGAAGCATATAGATAGGGAATAGGATGAAGTTGGAGCCATCTGTGGGTCAGAAATTTCATTTTGTCAACTGACTTTATTTCATCAATGTCATTATGGTGTGCAAACATGTTCCAGACTCAGGTAATTCTAGGAAGGAATGATCTCAGATGAAGTGATGTTCTTGAGAAGGGTACAGCCAGTGTAGTTGCTGCTTTCTGCCCATCTTGTTGTGTAGAAGCTCTCTTCTCACTGACCGTGAAGCGGAGCCAAGTGTGGTACCTTAATAACATTGGCCTTGTACATAACAGTAAGGCCAGCCACATTCCTCTGATGCTGAAGGCTCTGTTGAAATGACAGATCTGTTCAGGTTGGGTCCAGAAGAGAGATGAATTGTCTTTCCCTGTTCTCTATTGTCAAGAAGTTGTAGGTGAGACGGGGAGGGCAGGCAATCCAAGAAAGAGGAACAAACTCAAGGTGTGAGTGTACTTGTGCCTCATACAGAATCTTACAACCTCTACTGTCGAGCAGATGCAAGATACGTCTAAGTGCTGTAAGCTTCCTGGCCACTTTGTTTGCAAGATTTACTACATGGTTCTTCATAGCCAGCTTGGAATCAAATTTTATCCTAAGGATATTAACCTCATCTCTAGGTTCCAACACTCTCCCATTCATTCTTACCACTGCTCCAGCATTATCTTCATGGTGCTTAGAGATCATTATCATTCGAGTTTCCCAAAAGCAAATGTTTGTAACCCACCATCATCCTTCCCAGGCTAATATAGCTGTAAGCTGGTGACTGACAAAATTGAGAGCTGACATTTTCTCCCTTGGATAAGTAAATGTCGGAATACAGTCATCAGCATATGCACGTGATTCAGGGATGAGATGAAGGTCATCGAAGTAGATATTCCATAACACTGGAACACTGGCACCAGTAGGGTGTCTTGTCTTAGAGATCTACCTTGAAGGTAATCATTAAGGAGTCACAGTGCAGAGCCAGTAACTCCTAGTGTTTGAAGTTTTGCCAAGAGTCCCTGGTGCCATACTCTGCCAAAAGCCCAGCTATACACAGAGCTACTACACAGTTTATCTTGGATTTCAGCAGATGGGTCAAAAATGAGAAAGGTGAGGTGATGAAAGATTAGGTAAACCAAAGCATAGATGAGAGGAAATAAGTGGGTAGTGTTGAGGTATCTGTGAAAAGAAAAGCTTATCTATGAAAGCAAAAACGTGAATGTACCAGAGTATAGTGTATCTACTCTTACACGAGTGTGAAGCATGGGTGTTAAACATTGCAGCAAAGAGGCTGGAGGCAGTGGAGATGTCATATCATGTTTGAGAGCAATGTTTGGTGTGAATATCATGCAGAAAATTCAGAGGATAGAAATTAAAAGGATGGATTGTTGACTGATGTAGAGAGGATGGAGAGCAATAAGATGATGAAGAGGGTGTATAAATCTGGAGTGAAGGTGTAAGAGGTAGGGGGTCATGCCCTGGAATGGCTGAGGCGTAGGTCTAGATACTGAGGCATCAGGACTCTCTTATAGGAGACACGTCTGATGAGTTTTGGCCTCCATTCTCAAGATCTTATGAGACAGGGATGCGGTGTTAGATAGGCGAATGAGACGCAGGTGAGCGGGTAGTGTAGGGTGTTAGGAGGGGGGTGCGCACAGTAACGATTATTAAGGGATGAATGATGGTAACAGGGGGCGTGCGTGATCATACGTTTGGAAGCGCGGGGTCTTCTTTGGTGGCGAGATGGTTGGCTGAGTTAATATATAAACACTTTGAAAGTGAAGGAAACTCAGAGAAATCAAATTTGAAGAGTCGAGGACCTTTTGCACTGTCATATACAAGTTGGGATTACAATAAATATTGGCCTCTAAACCAACAATCATAGGCCTAATAGACCTTTAGATAACAGGGCATGTATTACCCACATTCATATCAGATGGCGCGCAAAACAAGCTGCAAGTACCAGATAATAAGACCTAACCATTCTTATAATAAAGACCAAAACTGAGCAGCCATAATTTAAAAGTGAGGTATGACTAAGGATAAATAAAAGTTGAAGTATAACACCAGGATGTTCTATTAGTTATGCCTCTTAATATGAAGCAAGAATTGCTATCTATTATCTTTAGCTACTAACATTTTTGCGCTGTAGGGACTCATTATAGGAAAATTCAGGGTTAAATCTGACTCATAAATCATTTTTGCATTCCACTTTGAGATTAGATTAGTTTATAAGTACCACAGTTCATTTTTTTCCTTGATTCATAACATTGGATATGTTTTTATTTATAATGTCACTACAGATCCATTCGTGTATTATTATTTTTTCTTTTTTTATCAAACACTGCCGATTCCGACCAAGGCCGGGTGCCCGAAAAAGAAAAACTTTCACCATCCATTCACTCCATCACTGGCTTGCCAGAAGGGAGCTTTATACACTACAGTTTTTAAACTGCAACAATTTACACCCCTCCTTCTGCAGAGGCAGCACTGACTTCCCATTCTCCAGGACTCAAGGTCCGCCTGCTGCCGGTTTCCCTGAACCCCTTCATAAAATGTTTACTTTGCTCACACTCCAACAGCACGGGCTTGTATTAAAACTCATTTGTCTCCATTCACACTATCAAACACGGTTCACGCATGCATGCTGGAAGTCCAAGCACCTCGCACACAAAACCTCCTTTACCCCCTCCCTCCAACCTTTCCTAGGCCGACCCCTACCACGCCTTCCTTCCACTACAGACTGATACACTCTTGAAGTCACTCTGTTTCACTCTATTCTCTCTACATGTCCGAACCACCTCAACAACCCTTCCTCAGCCCTCTGGACAACAGTTTTGGTAATCCTGCACCTCCACCTAACTTCCAAACTACGAATTCTCTGCATTATATTCACACCACACATTGCCCTCAGACATGACATCTCCACTGCCTCCAGCCTTCTCCTCGCTGCAACATTCGTTATTAAGGGATTTAAACATTTACCATTTCTAACATTATAAAATTTACACTTTCATTATGAACTTGTTACTGTTGTGATCAATTCACTTTCATATTGTGGAAATCATTATCAAAGAAAATAAATCTTTCCAAAATCAATCTTTTACGCTTCACAGTCCATGTTCATAATTCATCCCAAGTAACTGGCCATAATACACTGAAATGAGCCGCATACTATTGGCTTTCTTTTGTGCCTAAAAATATTTTGTTATGTCTAAACTACATTACCTGTATAATGCAGAAAAGGAATAAATTTTCTGTATTTGTATTTTGTAAGTGTTAGCAAATTTAAATGAAAAGGAAAATATCACCACATTTATGTGGAGAGAGAGATGCTGGGTACTTAGCCAGGCAAACACCCTTTTGGGTAGAGCGGTACCCCTCCCTGAGACAAAATCCCTACCCCTAGGTACAACCCGTTTCAACCCCACCATCACATTCACATGACCCAGTGTCCTGGTGATAGTGGATACCGCACACACTGTGTTACCTCAAAGTTGCTTTTGCATTACTGTAATTCTATACTGAAATAAGACTACAGATTTATCCTTTAGCCAAAACTGTCATAAACAGTGTTTGATGAAAATAAGATTGAAAACTTTAAATTTTGAACACCTGAAAATTCCAGATACTGTAACATTTCTAGCCAAGGAAGACTTTACTATGCCTAACAATATTTTGTTTATCAGAAATTCAACACCATCCTATTATGTCTATTAATTGCAAAGGTTAATATAGTAGTTTTGTTTGCATTCTTGAATAAAAAATATATAAATAAAGCCAAATTTCAGAAGGCAATACAGAGAATAAAATACCCAGAAGGATTGGCCATGCACTGCTGTTGCCAAGAAGCTGCTCAATGCCGAGAATCTGGGAGAGGAGAAGACCGACGGTGACCGCCAGCTGGTTAACAGTTCCTAGGCCCCCTCGTAGGTTGAGCGGGGCAATCTCACTGATGTACATAGGCACTAAAGAAGTGTTCAGACCTGTTGGCATAAACAGAATTAAAGCAGACAACAAAATGAATCGATTTGTAAATAAATCCTGCCTATATTAGGAAGATCTGTCTTTGAAGCAGTCTAAGAGAAATGGTGGTAGTCATTGCTAACTAAAATAATTCCTTTCTTTACCAAGTACTAAAGATAAAGTGAAACCACAATTTAAAGGACAAATAGGGAGGAACGGTGGCTAGTAATGACAATTGTGGTGGACAGTAATGAGATTGCTTTGCCACAATCCTAACAATGGACAATTCTCTAACAAATGGTCTTTGTCTGTTGTTTTCAAACCTGACCCAGCAGATCACTGCCTGTATTTCTGAAGGCTGTTTAACTGACTTTCATTAAATCAACACTATTACATTAAGTATGTAAAAATATAAACCAACAAGCAGAACACAGGAAACACAATAACTTTTACTTACAACAATTCCTCAGCCTTAATTCTTTCCATAACCACAGAGACAAGATTTTTTAATACTATAGTAATTATAACCCAGGAGCAAGGGGCTAGTAACCCTGTCTAATGGATAAATTACTAAATGTATAAAGAAGGAAAACTTTACGAGGTTTTCTTCTTTTTGAGTCGCCTGCCTCGGTGGGAAATGACCAGTATGTTAAAAAAAAAAAAAAAAAGTAATTATAAAGAAGATATTAAATTGAATAAAAAAAAAAAAAAAAGAGCTTCAGTTATTTGTGAATTTGCTTAAAGAAAGTTTTGTGTTGAGTAACACTGATAAACCTTCCTACTCTGACCAGGTATTACATGACCCCAGTGACATGGTTATACCTGTCTGCATGACATATCTATCACATACACCTGGAGTTTACCTGGAGAGGGTTTCGGGTATCAATGCCCTTGTAGCCCAGTCTGAGACCAAGCCTTGTGGTGGATTAGGGTCTGATCAACCAGGTTGTTACTGCTGGCCGCACATAAACTGACATACGAACCACAGCCCGGCTGATCAGGTACTGGCTTTAGGTGCCTGTCCAGTGCCTTCTTGAAGACAGTCAAAGGTCTATTTGTAATTCCCCTTATGTATGCTGGGAGGCAGTTGAACAGTTTTGGGCCCTTGACACTTATTGTGTTGTCTCTCAGTGTACTCGTGACATCCCTGTTTCTCATTGAGGAATCTGCTCTTCTTTTAATTTTTTTGCTTTAAAGGGAAAGTGATTTTCATGCTAAGCTTGGTAAAACCCTCAAAGGATTTTCCAAGTGTATATTATCAAGTATCTTTCTCACCTGTATTCCAGGAAGTACAAATCGAGGGACTTCAACTGTTCCCAGTAATTTAGGTGCTTTATCGTACTTATGCATGCAAGAAATTCTCTGACTTTCTCCGGGTCAAAAATTTTGCTTGCCTTGAAGGCAGCATTAGTGGCAGCAGTACCCTGTCTAAAAAGAACAAGAAATTTTTGAAGAGAATCATCAGGGGTTGCACCCTAATTTTGAAGGTAGGTGGGGTTAGGTAGGTAGAAGATAATAGATGATAATAGATAGATAATAATAATAGATAGATAGATAATAGATAGATAGATAGATAGAAATAGATAGAAGAAAAAATAATAAATTTTATATATATATATATAAATTATATATTTATAATATATATAAATAATATAAAATATATATATAAATATATTTTTTGTGGGTAGTAGGGGGTAGACAGAAAAACCCCCCCCAGGAGGTACTCCGTCCTCCAATGGTGTAAAAACGAAAGCCTGGATGTTTTACATGATGGTGGGTTTGCTGATGCTTTTGTCTGTCTCATAAATAGAAAGTTTTACAGGTATGTCTTGCTACTTCTACTTACACTTAGGTCACACTACACATACATTTCACATTAAATTAAAACACACTCACTGAGTTTTCTTTGTTTTTATCTTAATTTTTTCGGGTCTTATTATTTTTCCTTTTATATCCATGGGAAGTGGAAAAAAAAATTTTTCCCTCTGTAACCATGCGTTTTGAAAAAGCGACTAAAATCCCGGGGAACAATGGCCTAGAAACCCCCTTTTTTCCTGTAAGGATTACAAAAAGAAAATAAGAAAAAATTGTCAAAATGGGAAGTCGAATGGCGGGAGTTGGCAGATGATAAGAAAGAGATGATTTGGTGAAGAATAGAACGATGCCTGCTTAAGGAAACAAACTGAAGGGGGGGGGAGAGTTTTTAGGGAGAGGGAAAAATGGGGTTAGGGCAGGGGTTTCAAATAAGTTGAGCTAAAGGGAAAGGGGTAGCAAAAGTTTTAAAGGATAAGCTATGGGAGGGAAAAAAGGGGCAAAAAAGTATTAATTCAAGGATTATTGGATAAAATAAAGATTGGAGTGAAAAGGGGGTTATAATAACGTTATGCACCTGGAGAAGAAGAAGTGTAGAGGGGAAAAAGAGATTTTGGGGAAAATTTAAATAATGTGTGGGGATTTTTAATCAAGTGTGAAGTAATGGTGGTTGGGGATTTTAAAGTAAAGTGGGTAAAATGTTTGGAGGGGTTTTAGGTAAATTTGGGGTGCCAGGGTAAATGTAAAAGGGAGCCTTTAATTGAGCTATGTGTAAAAGAGATTTGGTAATAAGTAAAAACAATTTTTATGAAAAAGAGGGTAAATAAATACCAAGGTAGTGTAGCCCCTAATGAAAGTAGTTTTTTTGATTTCGTATTGGGGATAAAAGGGTTATGGTAGGCCCAGGATGTCAGTTTTTTAGAGGGGCAACTGATATATCGGATCATTATTTAGTTTAGCTAAAATTTGATAAGAGGTAGATGGAAAAACGGGAAAGGGGCAACAAAAAGTAAGAGGGGGTGAAAGGTAAAACTAAGGAGGAGGAAGTTCGGGGGAGATATAAGCGACATTGGCAGAAAATGGGCTAGGCAAGTTGGTGTGGGGGGGTTTTAAGAGGTTGGAAAAAGTTTTAAAAAGCGATTAGAATGTGGGGCAAATTTGTGGTTAAGGGGGTGGGGCGGGGAAAGAGGAGTGATTGGGGGAATGAAAGTAAAAAGGGGTGAAAAAAAGAAAAAAAGCTTAGAAGGTTTTTCAAAGCGAAGTTTAAAGAAGGCAGTACAGTGGGGCCCCGCATAACAATTACCTCCGAATGCGACCAATTATGTAAGTGTATTTATGTAAGTGCGTTGTACGGTATGTTTGGGGTCTGAAATGGACTAATCTACTTCACAATATTCCTTATGGGAATAAATTCGGTAAGTACTGGCACCTGAACATACTTATGGAGTGAAAAAATATCGTAACCAGGGGGTTTCCACGTATATGGAGAGTAAAAGAAAGGTAAAGAGAGTGGTGAGAGAGTGCAAAAGGAGAGCAATGAAGATGGGAGAGGCACTGTCAAGAAATTTTAATGAAAATAAAAAAAATTTTTTGGGACAAAGTTAAACAATTTAAGAAACCCTGGGGAAAAAGAAGGGGATTTGTCATTTTAAAAACGGGAGAAGGGGAAAAAGTTATTAATGGTTTTTAAGGGTTTTATAGGCCCCCCCCCCCAAAAAAAAATTGAAATTTTTTTTAAGAAAAACGGGTTAAAACTCTGGAATACCAAATTTAAATTGAATTGAGGGGGAAACTTTGCTCTAAAGGGTCGAAGGCCCCGGGGGATAACCCTTTATGACTGAGGCAGCGGGTTTCAAGCCTATTTTTTTCTCTTATAATAGGTTATACTTTTGGACAAAAACCCCAAAAATTTTAAAATAAGTTTTTTTAAATAAAGTTGTTTTTCCCTTTTTGGAAAAGAAAAAATTAAGGTGTTTAGAATTTGGTAATTTGGAGAATTGGGGTTTGGGGCAACAGCCCTTTTTGTTTTGGGGGGGGGGACAAGTTTTTTTATTTCCTTTTGTAAAATTTTAAAATTAAGGTTTTGGTAAATTGTGGTAACTGGAGAATTTGTTTGGGCCCAAATAAGTAGGTTAAAAAAGTTGTTTTTCCCTTTTTTGTAAAGAAAAAATTAAGGTGGGGTAAAATTGTGGTAACTAGAATTGTGTTTGGGCAACAGTCTTTTTTTTTTGGTGGGGGGAAAGCTTAGCCTCTTTCTCTCTCTCCCTCCATGCCCGGGTTTCTTTGTGGCGGGGCTTCAACCTGGCAGGTTTCCTCGGGGGCCCTTTTTTTCCTATCTTTTGGGGCATTAGTGTGCTCCGGGGGTTTATTTTTTTTAAAATTTTTAAGGGTTGTGCCCCACCATACCCAGGGTGACTAAAGTGTGTAAAAACACGGGTTTACCCCAAGTTTTTTTAAAGGGAGAGAGAGGACAAAAGTTGTTGAGTTTAAAACCATGTGGGAGAACGCTTTTTGGCAGTGTTTTAAAACGTTGTTTTGAAAATGTGAGGTTTTGGTTAATTGTAAAATTCTTTTACATATCTATTGAGAATACAGTTATATTTTTATAGAGTATTTACAAAACCTGTGAAGGGGCGGTAAAAGGGGTTTTAACAAAAGCCAATCGGTAAATAAAAGCCATAAAATGTAAGTTTTCCCCCCTAGGCAAAAAAACCATTAAGTAAAAGTTTCCCCCAAACATAGAACTTTGTAGGAAAACCCTTACTATCAAAAGTAATAAGGGACAAACCAAAACGAAACCCATGGGAGTTTTAAACCGGGGGGAGTTTTTTAAATTTGACTGCAAAAAAAAACTCAAAACATTCTTTGAATATATGGCTGGAAAGGGGGGTTAAAAAAAATTTTTGGGCATGTTTTGGTAGAAGTTTTACCTAGGTGGTTTTTTCAGGGGAAATTGTTTTTTTTCATATTTTTAGTTTACAGGTTTTTTTTTTTCCCTAAGGGGGGGGAAAAGGGGAGTAAAAACATTTTTTTTTTGGTTATGGAAGTGCAAAAAGGTGCATATTTTTACAAAAAATTTTGGGTTTTTTTTTTAAATTCCCTGGGGGAAAAATTTTGTCCACTGTTTTACTGAAAGAGGGAAGCAAGTGTTTAAAGATAAAACTATGTCGAAAAATGGGGTTTTCCCAGTTTTTTTAGGCTTCAGGAA